AAGCGAACAAGTTTCCTAGCACCCGAAGTAATGCCAAACCAAGTCTTATGAGAGGGACGTGGCAAAGAGTGGAACCGAAATGGAGACTCCAGTCTTTTGTTCAGCTGCCTCAAGATATTTCCGAAGCCGTCTCTTTTTAGTAGACACTTCCCGAAGGACGTCGTCGCCCTGAAATCGTCTTCTGAACCCAATTAACTCTAAGCAAACCTTCAGTCCGTCTTCGTCCGCCACAGGCTACTATAAGAAAGTTAACTCGAATAGTTGTTACTGTTATCAAGCTAATCACTTCGGTTTGAGGGTAAGTATGTCTGCTAAGTTTGCTTTAAAAATTTACCTCAAGTTTCGGGACGTACTAAGGTTTTTTCGGCCAGTTTTCCTTAACGCCTTTACACGCCTCAGATTCCTTCTTCTGCACGAGGAAGCCAACGAAGAGAGGATACGCAACTTCTTCCAAGAAGTATATGAGGCATATGTACGCGTAAGTGTCCACCTTATAGTAAAACTCTTCAGCTATCGATGAACCCCTTCTTCGTCCATGGAGCTAAGATAAACAACGGATTTTTCCTGAAGAAGGTCCAACAATTGGCCCGCAAGTACTTTGGCTAAAAAGTCTGCCGTCCCCTGCTGTGATAACTTGTTTTTTTAATGGAGCTATTTCTATCCAACATTATTTGTTGTTATTGGGTTAATTTCGGCGATCCAGGGTCTTTTAAATGTACAACCACAGCAAGCCACGCGCCAAGGCTTGATATCGCTTCTAATTGTCCGTTGTTATTTAACCATCCGCGAATGTTCCAGACACGAGGTGAACGGCAAAACTTGAACCCATCCTGCATTCGGGACAGATTCGTTTCCGTTAGTTCCTTTCTAGCATGTCTGCAGTCATTTATTTTCAATTAATCCATGAATATAAATAGCTTACCGCTTTCCTGTTAAAGACTAAACAGGTAGCGACCGTCTCCAAGCGATTCGGCGACTTTACTCAGCGCGTCATAGCCTGTGAGCTCACTAATTTTAGTACGCCAATG